CCATTGGTTTTGACCCACAGCCATGAACTTGGTTGACGTTGGAACCAGGGAAGGGGGCGGGGGAAGGGAACTGGGGGGGAGGGGAATGGGGGGGAGAAGGGTCCGCATTTTTTCTTTCTTTCTTTTTTCCAAAGGGTCCTTTCAATGGTGCTTTCCTTGGTTAACGTTGGAAGGGGAGCAAAAAAAACAGATTTAGCAGTTCAGTGGTTGGATTTCAACCACTAAACAACAATAAGTAACAATAAGCAAACATGTAAAATGTGTTCCAACAACAACCATGTGGAAACCCATCCCATGGCTCAAACCTTGCCGGTGCTCAGAAGGGAATCCTTCAAAGGAAACCAGAGGGCACGGCTTTTTGGGGGTCATTCCATTTCTCATTCCCTTCCCATCGCACCAGCAAGCAAACTCAAAAGCTGTAGTACCTCAGCCGGGTGAAACATGGTGAAAACCGTACATGAAGAAACACGGGCCCAAGAGGCGCTGCTAAAGTAGATGATACGCGTGGCTTGTTGGAACAAAAGCCGTGACAAGTGGGTCTATCTCCATATGCAGAAAGCCCCCGCGCGCCTTCTTTTTGGCTCCCTTCAAAACCATCCGCAAAGAGTGCCCCGGGAAGAAAAAAAAAAGACAGAAGGAAGAAACAAAACATTTGAAGGTGACATCGGCCTACATCGACCCCGGAATCAACTTGGTAGGGAGATGTTACCCCATTCGAGCCCAATAAAACTAAACAACAGGTGGCTCGGGAAGCATAAAAGACCGTTAAATAAACTCTGACACCTCCCCCACCTGATGAGCAACAAAACATTAACACTCTCAATAGCTCCAGTCCGGCCTACCCGCCAAAATGAAAAAGATGCAGAATTAAGACTTCAGGAGGGAAGGCAAACAAAAACGCACCTGTTGTTTTCCCCCTTCGGATGCTGAACACCCCAACAATTGGCAGGAGACGTTGGCAGATGAAGTAACTCTCGAGTTGGCAGGAGAAGTTTGCGCATGATGTAACTCTCGAAGAGTTGGTAAAAGAAGTTGGCAGGTGAAGTAACTCTCGAAAAATTGGCACGTGAAGTAACACTCGAAAAGTTGGCAGGAGAAGTTGGCCGGTTAGGCAACTCTCGAAAAAAGTTGGCAAGAGAAGTTGGCAGGTGAAATGACGCTCGAAAAAAATGGCAGGAGAAGCTATTAGGTGAAGTAACACCCGAAAAGTGGTTGAAGTTGGCAGATGAAGTGTGCAGCCGCGTTAGAAGAAGAACCATTCCCATGCTTCCAAAAGAACGCCTCCTCCCCGTACCACTGGCATGATGGCGAAGGTTTGACAGGTACATCAACTAAGGGGAATCCACATCTCTGAAACATGTCAGGTTTTGGCCAATGGGGTAGGGATACGGAGACTGCTGGGGGTTCTTTGGTTGCACCTGAAGGCATTTCTTTCCTGCGCCCAGCCGGGAGTGTCGTGACGAAACGGACGTTGGATAATGTTTGGTAAATCCTCTGGCTTTTGTGGGAGGTATGAATCCACCCATGTCTTTGGATTATCTGGATATCTTGACCGAACCTAATATAGCAATGTCGGCGTTCCCCTATTTCGAGACAAACCATATGTTCCTTGTGGAAGTCTATGGAAAAAGGGGGAAACACACTGAGGGCCAGGCCAGGGATGTTGCCTTCGAACGGGCTAAACCACCATTCTCCCCTTCGACTTCGAGACCTGCAAATCGCATTGCCCCCTCCCAGTGACCTGCAAATCGCCCCGTGGTTGGTTGGTTGCATGGTTTCTTGGTTGCCCGTGATTGCCTGGCTGGTTGAACCATAGACTTGCCCCCAAACAACCTCCAAGTCTCCAAATCAGGAGTCACCTTTGTCTACAAGTCGGGAGAAGTGAGAACTTTGGCTTCTAGCTGTCTGCTAAAACCCCCCTTGACACGAAGGATACCCTCAGCAACACGAGGAATGGTAGTGGGACCGTTCTTATCGCGGCAGCACCGAACGGACTGCCCTCTGCCGCCCAGCCAACCGCCTTCTGGTACAGGTCGAAGGTTTTCCGACCCAGAGAGCCCAACCGCTCGTTGCACTGCTCCTCGAAGCCATACTTGCCTGAAGCGCCGACGTCGAAAACGCGTCGCGCAGAGAAGTCATGGGATTCTTCTTGGAAGCACGCCCCGTAGTTTCCTGCGAGGGTACCGTTTGGGGGATTGTTTCGACGGCAACCAGAAGCGAAACCCCATTTTGTGGGCCCCCTGTTAAAACAAACAGGGAAGATGGTTTTGTTAGATGGTTTGGTTTGTGGGGCCCTTACATGGGGGGGGTTCGCCTTACGGCCTCAGAGAAAGAGCGCTCTTGGCGCTTGCCCATCCTCACAAACACTTCGGAGGAATCCAAAGGCCCATACTGATCAAACGACTTCCCCCCCCTTTCCCCGCAAAAACAAAAAAAAACACCACGTGCGTCATGTCATCCCTGGCAAGGGCTTGCTGAAGCTGGATCTCCCGACTTGTGGCGCGCTCAGCACTTTCTCGGCGAGTCAGATTTTGTAACGTAGCAGGCGCAAGACTTTAGACTGGTTGGCAACGAGCGGGCAGCTTGAGGCTAACACAGTCTGTTTCGTCTCCATTGAGCAGAAATAGGCGAGCTAGAGCATGCCACATCCAAGCGTTGCACAGGATCGGCGCTGCCCTGCTCAGGCAGCAAAGGAAACCAAGTGAAAAGTGAAGTCATTTGCCATGGATCACCCGGAGTCTCTCTCCGGGTGTTTTTTGTTTTTTGTTCTGGGAGTCTCTCTCTGGGAGTCCCTCTCTGGGAGTCTCTCTCTGGGGGCCCTGACACTCCTGCACATTAGTGAGAGTGCCCATGCGAAAGCAAGGAGTCTCTCTCTGGGAGTCCCTCTCTGGGAGTCTCTCTCTGGGGGCCCTGACACTCCTGCACATTAGTGAGAGTGCCCATGCGAAAGCAAGGAAATTCCCCTTGCAATAGGTCACCCGGAGCAGTTTCTTTTATCTGCAACCATCGCCCTTCTAATCGTCCCCCGCTTCAGTTCGATGAATCTCGCCGCTAAAAGCTTCGCATGTGGGCCTGCCGGTCCTCGATGTTCTGAATTTGCGCCTGGGGGCTCCAATGTCTTTTGTGAATTCATTTACCCAGCTACAATCAAGGACGATGTCCGGGACTGGAAGAATGGGATCTCCACCTCCCGGATCTCCAGGGACGGATTGTCCCCCTTTCAAAAGGTTCGAAGATGGCTCCAACGAAGCGATCGCCATTCTCTGAGGCTGGTCCAAACACGTTGGAGATGGAGAAATCCCCTGAAGAAGCAAACTAGGGGGATGGATGGAAACTTTGGAAGAAAGGAATCTCCGCTTCAGGATTCCCAGACTAATCACTGGGAGGTTTCGGGAGAAAAAAACACTTGCAGGTTGCTTCCTCATTGACAGTGTTCGAGGTGTGCTGGGTGCTTCTGAACAGCCGCGGGGCGGTTCATGCAGCTATCTTCATGGTTGCCCCGCACCAGCCACACGTGCGAGGGATAGGTGATCTTCAATGCGAAGAGGACGCCAATCACCTCCACGCAACACTCGGGTGAACGGACCTGTTTTGAGTAGAATGAGGCCCTCTAACCACGCTATGCGGGACAAGGGTCAGTTTTTGAAAAGGGAAATCAGATATCTGGTCAAGGCTGCAGAAGAATGGGATGGATGGGTTGTGAGGAATCGTTGCACCGCGCTTCATCTACCAGGGTTTTGATGGGGCTTGGAGGCACAGCCAAAAAAACATGGCCAACGGCCTCAGCCTCAGTCTTACGAGGCCTTTCTTGAAGGAAACCAGGGAGCTTTGGGGGTTGGAGAGGGGCTTGGGTCAACCTTAAACCTATCCTGAACATCCCACACCCACCCTAAAACCCATCTTCGACTTCTTGAGTGAAAGCGTCTACATTTTTTTGGCCTACCAGCCACCCCAAACCAACCCTTAACAAACCCTGAACCCTAACCATACCCAACCTTACCCCAAACCCAGCCAAAAGAAACCCCAACTGGATCCTCAAACAAAAACTCCAAAACGCATAGGCTTCGTTTCGCCCCTCAAGGCACCCATTTCAAGGCCCGCCCCTAGGCCCCCCAAGCGCGCATCCCACGCGATCCCGGCAACGCCTCCAGCTGATGGGCGCCGCGGTCCACGAAGTCCCCGTTGAAGACCACGGAGCGGCCCTGGCCCGGCAGCCCGAAGGCGTGGAAGAAGAGCAGCAGGTCCCGCAGCTGCCCGTGGATGTCGCCTCAGCTTGGGGGCTTCGAGGCTTCGATCCGGATCCAGCGATACAGGCGGCCCCAGCCAGGCCGCCCCCCCCCCAAAAAAAAAAAGAAGAAAAAAACAAACGAAGAGAGAAGCCTCCCCCCCAAAAAAAAAGAAGGGAGAAGCCGCGAAGAAAAAAAAAAAAAAACGACAAGAGCAATACTTTGGGTTTGCTTTGGATGTGACCTCGAAATCGAGCAAAAGACAGGTAGACACTTTGGATGTCACTTCAAATGAACATCAGCGGCCGAGTCAACCCCTTGCCTCAGAATTGATCGAAATGCCAAGCTCACGTAAGCATGCATAACTGCCTGTTGGTGCGAGCGCGCCGGTTAGAACCCGTTGAACGGGTTCCCTGGGATGCTCTTCCGGAAAACTTTGCACTTCCACGATTGTTAGAAAAGGAGCTCGATTTAAGCCAAAAATGGCCCACAAAGGTGTTTCAGCCTGGTAGGCAATTTCAATCACTGCCTTTTGGAAGCAACCATCCCAGTTGCAACCATGCTCAAAATCACCCCTAAACTCGCATCTCAAAGTTTGACCCCCAGAAACATCCCCAAATCTTGTTTCCATTGGTCAAAGCCATTGAGACCTCAAACGGAGCCCACCCGAGGGTCCCGTGTACGAAAGATCGCCCTGGACCAGTCAGGTTCCATGGCGACGCTTTGCTGCCTGCCCAAACCTTTTGCCCCTGGCGAACTCTGCCTTCGCCTCTGATGTTTGAACTGCCCAGGCGCCGAAGACCCGGCAGGGCTGCCTCGCCTGGACCACCGTCTGCTCTTGCTCGAAGCAGCGCCGCGCGCCGCTGGCCAGCATGATCAGCGTGTCCACGTAGTCAGCGCCTCACGCGAGGCGCAAAAATTCGCTAATCGTGCTCAGGAGGAAAAAAACTGGTGGTGTTCAAGAAAAATAGCAAAGTTAAGATTCAACCAATTGAAATCAACCAGGTAAGGAATGGTTCTGAAGTGCTCCATCAGTGTGGGTGTGTTTGTCTGTGTCTGTGTGGGTGGGTGGGTGGGTGGGTGTCGTGTCGTGTCGTGTCGTGTCGTGTCTTGTCGTGTCGCGTCGTGTCGTGTCGTGTCGTGCCGTGCCGTGCCGTGCCGTGCCATGACGTGTCGGGTCGTGTCGGGTCGGGTCGGGTCGGGTCGGGTCGCGTCGCGTCGCGTCGCGCCGCGCCGCGTCGTGTCGGGTGGTGTCGTGTCTCGCGGAGTCGTGTCATGTCTCGTCGTGTCATGGCTAGCGTGGCGTGTCGTGTCGCGCTGTGCTGCGTTGTGTTGCGGCGTTGTGTTGCGTTGCGTTGCCCACGTTGTGCTGCGCTATGCTGTGCTGTGCTGCGCTGGGTTGTGTTGCGTTGGGTTGTGTTGTGTGTGTTTGTGTGTGTGTGTGCGTTGTGTGTTTTGTGTACGTGTGTGTGTGTGTGTGCGAGTACGCGTGTGAGCGCACACGAGCGTGCACGCGCGAGTGCGCGCGCACTCGCATGCGCGCGCGCGCGCGTGCGCGTGCGCGTGCGTGTGCGTGTTCGTGCGCGTGTGCGTGCGCGTGCGCGTGTGCGTGTGCGTGTGCGTGCGCGTGCGCGTGGGCGTGCGCGTGCGCTGCGCGTGCGCGCGCGCCAAGCGCACGCTGCAGGCCAAGGCGGGCAGCAGCAGGCCAGGGCAGTGCCAGGCACATCAAGGCGCGCTGTGACGGTGGCCTCAGCGTGTTGGGTATGGTGCAGGCGAAGGTGAGGCTGCAGAAGGACTAAGGCAGGCGCGTGCGCGCGTGCGTGCGCGTGTGCGTCTGCGTGTGCGTGTTTTCTGTGTGTCTCCCTGTGTGTCTCTCTGTGTGTCTCTCTGTGCGTCTCTCTGTGTGTCTCTCTGTGTGTCTCTCTGTGTGTTTCTCTGTGTGTCTCTCTGTGTGTCTCTCTGTGTGTCTCTCTGTGTGTCTCTCTGTGTGTCTCTCTATGTGTCTCTCTATGTGTCTCTCTGTGTGTCTCTCTGTGTGTCTCTCTGTGTGTCTCTCCGTGTGTCTCTCTGTGTGTCTCTCTGTGTGTCTCTCTGTGTGTCTCTCTGTGTGTCTCTCTGTGTGTCTTTCTGTGTGTCTCTCTGTGTGTCTCTCTCTGTGTGTCTCTCTGTGTGTCTCTCTGTCTCTCTGTGTGTCTCTCTGTCTCTCTGTGTGTCTCTCCGTGTGTCTCTCTGTGTGTCTCTCTGCTTGTCTCTGTGTCTCTCTGTGTGTCTCTGTGTGTCTCTGTGTGTCTCTGTGTGTCTCTGTGTGTCTCTGTGTGTCTGTGTGTGTGTCTCTGTGTGTCTCTGTGTGTGTGTCTGTGTGTGTGTCTGTGTGTCTCTGTGTGTGTCTGTGTGTGTCTGTGTGTGTCTCTGTGTGTGTGTCTATGTGTGTGTCTCTGTGTGTGTCTCTGTGTGTGTGTGTGTGCCTCTGTGTGTCTGTGTGTCTGTGTGTCTGTGTGTCTGTGTGTGTGTGTCTGTGTGTCTGTGTGTTTGTGTGTTTGTGTGTTTGTGTGTTTGTGTGTTTGTGTGTTTGTGTGTTTGTGTGTGTGTGTGATCGTGTGTTTGTGTGTTCGTGTGTTCGTGTGTTCGTGTGTGTGTTGTGTGTTTCTGTGTTTGTGTGTTTGTGTCTTTGTGTGTTTGTGTGTGTTGTGTGTTTGTGTTTGTGTGTGTGTTTGTGTATTTGTGTGTTTGAGTTCGTTGGCTTGTGCGCTTGTGCGCTTGTGTTTGTGCGTTTGTGCGTTTGTGCGTTTGTGCTTCTGTGCGTCTGTGCGTCTGTGCGTCTGCGCGTTTGCGCGTCTGCACGCTTGCGAGCTTGTGCGTTTGTGCGTTTGCGCGTTTGTGCGTTTGTGCGTTTGTGCGTTTGTGTGTTTGTGCGTTTGTGCGGTTGTGCGTTTGTGCGTTTGTGTGTTTGTGTGTTTGTGTGTTTCTGTGATTCTGCGATTCTGTGTTTCTGTGTTTCTGTGTTTCTGTGTTTCTGTGTTTCTGTGTTTCGGTGTTTCTGTGTTTCTGTGTTTCTGTGTTTCTGTGTTTCTGTGTCTCTGTATTTCTGTGTTTCTGTGTTTCTGTGTTTCTGTGTGTTTGTGTGATTGTGTGTTTGTGTGATTGTGTGTTTGTGTGATGGTGTGTTTGTGTGTGTGCTTGTGTGTGTTTGTGTGTGTTTGTGCGCTTGTGTGCTTGTGTCCTTGTGTGTTTGTGTCTGTGTGTTGTCTTTGTGTGTTTGTTTCTTTGTGTGTTTGTGTGTGTGTGTTTGTGCGCTTGTGTGTTTGTGTGTTTGTGTGCTTGTGTGTTTGTGCGTTTGTGTGTGCTTGTGTGTGTTTGTGCGCTTGTGTGTTTGTGTGTTTGTGCGTTTGTGTGTTTGTATGTTTGTGCTCTTGTGTGTTTGTGTGTGTGTGTTTCTGTGTTTGTGTGTTGGTGTGGTCGTGTGTGTGTGTGTGTTTGTGCTTGTGTGTTTGCGTGGTTCTGTGTTTGTCCGTTTGTGCAACCGTGCGGTTGTGTATTTGTGCGCTTGTGCGCTGGCGCGGTGTCTGAGACGTCTGGAGGCGGGCGGGCGCGCCCGCGCATGCCTACGTGCGTGCCTTTGCGCGTGCGGGCATGCGTGCCTCGCGCTCCTGCCTGCATGCGCACGCAAACGCAGGCACCCTTTCTCTCACAACAGCCCACAACAGAGGACCTGCCACCTGGACAACCAGCTTAACGATACGCAAGCAAGTTCGACCAAGTGGCTAAAAAGGAAGCTGAGGGCATCTTCTTTCCATCTTCCATCCAGCTTGTCCTCCGTCTCTTTGGAGACCTCTGAGCGGAGCAGTTTGCGGTTAAGGTTTGCGCCAGCGAGGCGCAAAGCCACCTGAAACTTAGGACGGTTTGAAGGGAAACCAAGAGGAACGCCATGGTGTACGCTATCAAATTTTTGCCTACGTGGTATCACGGTGCTCGAGAGCCTTCACGCAGTGAGACACACTGTCGTCCTTTGCCACGCGCTGCTGCGCCAAATCAGTACTTGAAGGCAGCTGGCCACTCCGAACAAACTACTTTTGGTGACCTGGCGCTACGTTTGTAGCCAGACGCACGCCACGCCGCAACAAGACACGCCTAAACTCACAACCGGACACACGCACGCCTGCAAGATACATGGGCCCAACACAGTTGCGCGAAGACGGAGACAAAAGCCAAAAACACAGATTGTGACTCGGTAACCTTGATCTTCGCGACACGCATAGACTGCTCAATGAGAGAAACATGACAAGACTGTCAACGTATACTACGACCACTTCTTCTACTAGCGGACCGCAGGTTGGTTCTGTTGAGACGCTTGCTGGTGGCTGTTTCGGACTGGGTTGCTTTCTGGGATGCGTCGCTCGAAACACTCAGCCAGGCAACATCGCAAGCCACTGCGGCGACAGCCGTCCATGACTGCAGACGCGGGAAGCGCTTGTTGGCGAATGGATGGTTTAGCAAAATTGCTCTTTGGGAGTGCACCAGTGCCCTGCCACAAGTTGCTCTGCGCAAGCGCTCCGCGCTAGTTGCAAGGCGCACGTCTGCAAAATTCTCTGCGCAAGAATGTTCTGCGCAAGTTGCTCTGCACACATGCTCTGCGCAAGTTGCCTGCGCAATGGCCCTTTGCATGTTGTTCTGCGCCTGCGCCGATAGCTCAGCGCTCATGGCTCTGACAAGCAACTCTGCGCAAGCGTCTCTGCACAAGTGTCCTTGCACGAGTACTCTGCACACAAGCTGCTCTGCGCAATCTGCACGTCGCTCTCCGGAGCGCTCTGTGCAAGTTTCTTCGCTCAAGCCTCTTCACGTGCTACTTTTGTACTTTTTCAGCCGGAGCGGGAACGCGCTTCGCGTACTACTTTCGCGCTTGAAAGGCCCGAGGAATGAACCCGCGACCGCGCGATTTGCACAGCGCAGCGGAAGCGATTCGACAGAAATCGTAAAAAAATCCCTCAGTTTTGCACATCGGCCCGCCGAAATCAAAAGAGCCCTCAGGTTTGGCACATCGACCACGCCGATCCCCGCAGATTGTCGCAATCCCGCGCGATGACAACAACGTGCTGCCCGCCGAAAAAACGGAATCTCATTACCGGGCCCTTTCACGCGCGTGAATAAGCTTCTTGATGGAAGCTTAATCGCTCTCTACCCAAGAACTCGACCTCAGGTACCCAACCATTCACACCAAGCTGTTTATTCAGACTCTGTATGGACTGCTTGCACCAACACATACCCCCACCGCTCATGCCCAGAACCATGCCCAGACTACGCTCTGTGCGCCAATGGCTCTGGGCAAGTTGCTCTGTGCAAGTTGGTCTGCGCAAGTTGGTCTGCGCAAGTGACTCTGCGCAAGTGACTCTGCGCAAGTGGCTCTGCGCAGATGACGCTGCGCAAGTAGCTCCGAGCAAGATGATCTGAGTTACAAACAACTACTGAGGACATATCTAGCGGGTCACAATACAGCTATCAAAACTTGGGCTGCTTCTAGGCTTCCCCGTTCGTCTTGCGCAGACTCTTTGTAGGTCTCGTCTTGCGCCACGAGCACTCGTGGGCACCGGGAGTTCTTGAGGATGCCCTGTTTGGGGTTGGGTTTTAGAGGAAGATCAAAGGGAAACCGGGAAACGTTTGGCGCAATTCCATACTGCCCAGCGTAGAATTGCACATCGCGACCCAAAAAACGCGCGAGTGGCAGGTCAATTGGAAACATTTGCAAGCGTGACCCACCGCACGTGAGCAGTTCAACCCTTCAGTGATCTAGATGAGGATCCCAGTCTGCTCACGCGAGACTTAGAGAATCTCAACCATACAGTCGTTTCACCTGAGTTTCACTGCGTGAATTGATTTCTCCTATTTTGCCTTGTGAGGGCCCTTTCATGTTCCTGCCCAAAACAATATGAAATTATTTCTCATGTTTCCTCTTGAGGGCCTTTTCATGTTCCTGTCCAAAACAAAAACCCATGCGTTTAATTTCTCCTTTTGAGGGCCTTTTCATTTTCCTCTCCAAAAACAATAAACGGAATAGCCCCGTCCTCCAAGCAAACGACGGGAGCTCCACCGCGTCAATGGCCGAAAAAAGTTTCTCTGGGCCCCGCGCGCGCTTCACCAGCTCCTGCAACTGGCTCACCACGGTGGCCGCGCGCCGCTGCGCACCCCGCGCTTGCCGCGGCTTGCTTCTGGGTGAAAGGTACCAACTTTTGAGGGGAAGGTAATGGGGGGGGAAAGGGGGGATGTGGGGGGGGGGAGGGGGAAGGGGAGGGGGAGGGGGAGGGGGGTTGGAGGGGTGGAGGGGAGGAGGGGGGATGAAGGGAAACCAAACAGAAACCCATGTTGCGAGATCCTGTAAATTGGAACACAAGCGTGCGCCTCTGAAACGGAAGGCTCTTGATTTTACTCTAAACAGCAAAGATGGGGCTCTGGGAGTCTTTTCGGACTAAGTCAAGTAGCGCTCGCGAAAGAACGAAATGGGTAGCTCGTGCATCATATTGACAACGAGGGTTCCAAATGCCAAATTCGGCAAGAGCTCTGAGATTGGCAGGGAACCTCTGACAAGTTGCCCTCTACTCGGCGGGAGCGCATCATGGGCCGATCCCCCCAGAATACAACAAAACAACATGCTTGTAAGCGATTCAGCCCCTCATGCTAAGTAAGCCGGATTGGTGAGGGCGGTGCAACGGCCCAAAAACGTGATCCCGATCGCCTCTACTCTTTGCGTCAAAGGATCAAAAACCCAAGGGGTTGATGCACATTGGGCTCCATTACCTTCAATTCTCAGGGTCCCTGAGAAACCATCCGACCAGTCTCCTTTATGGTGATCCCCTGTCACAGCCAAAACTCTTAAGAATGGTTCAGAGAACCCACCGAACGCGCAAACGGCTCCCACGATCAAATCCCATGCTCCTCTCTCTCTCCTTCTCGGAGGGCGTGGCCGTGAAATTCAGGCAGTGCCCGTAGGTGCCAGCAAAGGCAGCCGAAACCAGCCCTAGCTTGCGGCCTAAGCCGAAAATCGATTCGCATCGCGGTGGATTCGATCCAATCAGAAAGCGCCGGCGACATGACTTAATATGGGGATTCAGTCCAACTACTTTGAGGTGGTCCTCTCCCTCTCTCTCTCGCGCTGTTTTCCAGCTCTCATTCCCGGGCCCCCAGCGGTTGCCATTTTGGCCAGGCCCTTTCATTCGGCACCAGATCGCCTTGCCCACAAGCACGCCCCAGTTGGTAATGGCGTCTTCCGGCTCGTACCTGAGCCCGGGAATGGCTCCAAAGCCCGGTCCCGACTCAAGCGGATCAAGCGAGGTGTGTGTTTGATTTGGGGACACCCTTTCCCAAACCAAAGCGGATCAAACGAGGTATGTTTTATTTTGGGGAGCCCTTTCCCGAAACAAAGCAGAAACCCCACCGCTTGGGGGGGGGGGGGGTTCTCCCTATCTTTTGGCTGCCCACCATTTCGGGGTCCTAAGCCCTGTTTTGACACCCCAAATTGCGATTTGTTTTTTGCGGGAAATCGCCCTCAAAAGTGCTTGGTGGACACAAATCCTAAGAAAAACCTGAAAAGGCGACCAAGCGTCCAAGAAGGGCACATCCTCCCCATCATATCCCCTTTAAACCACACTCCGCCAAAAAACACCTACAATTGTTCCAAAAGGTGTCAAACGGTATGTGTAAACATAGGGGGACTCCAAAAATTGTGGTTTCGATTTAGCTTCACCTGAAACATCCTGAAAAGGGTAAGGATATTATTGACCAGACTTAGACCCCTTGCAAAAAGTTGCAATGGTTTGATGGTTGAAAGGGACAATGTGTAAATCCACAAAGGCTGAAAGTGAAAAGGGTAAGCGATCCGTCTGGGTACCCTGAAAACTGCATACCCCCAAGAATGGTTGCGTCTTTAAACCAAACTGAAAACCTCAAACAAAAACACCAAAAATACCTGTATTTGCTGAAGTCTGGGAAAATAACAAAGCAACATGGGCAATTAAGAAATAACTCCTCCGGCAAAGGGATGTGTCGTTTGTTTCGCCCCCAAATGAATGTGTTTGTATATATACATATATTTGGTACCCCCCCGGTGTAAAACCGAGCCTGAGAGAAACAAAAAAAAACGCCCCGCCCATTCGGGTTAGGCGGCGACTTGAACTCCGAGGAGGTCAGCGAGTCCGTGCCCGGGCTCTCCGTGTCGCTGGTGGAGGAGGTGTCTCCCAAGCCCTTCTTCCGCCTCTGCCGCATGATGTCGCCCGAGAAGTCGCCTCAGCGCTCGGAAGCCGTGGAGGGGTCAGCGTGTGGAGGTTTCACGACCGAAGGAGTGGATTGGCCAGGAAAAGTCCCCGAACTTTTCGAGATGGTCTTGTGGGCCCAATTGCTTTGGATGGGTTAGTGAATTTAAATAAGGGGCTGCCCATTTGCCCTCTACAAGTGGTCTTGATGCGGGTGTCCAAAGGGATCCATTCCAAAGAAGAGTGCGTGGATGCAACTTGGCTCCGACCCGAAAGTAAAACTTGTGGGATATTGCTGTGTTCTTTTTTCAGGCTCGGCATCCTTTTTGGGGAACCACCCCTTTTCGGCGTCCTCCTATTTTGACGACTTCCCAATGGAGCGCGTTTTGTGGGGGCCTATGTTGAGACATATGGGGCCAAATATCCTGCAAATGAAGGTGGGGTGAGAGGGATCCATTCCTGCAACTTCGTGGCTCCTGGAGACTTGCTGGAAAAAAGCACAATAAGAGTCAAATGGCGCTGGGAATTGCCGAGTCACGGATCACCGTCAGCTTGATGTCCGGGTCGTACTCGTCCTGAGATGGGGGCCAGTAGCTATTTGTCTGCAGGAGGGCACCCTTCTTTGTTTTCAGTGGAAACCAAAAGGTGCTTTGCTAACTGGCCAAGTTGTATCCATCTTGGTGTCCGGGTCGTACTCGTCCTGACTGACCTCTTTGTTTTACCATCATCCCCCAAGTGGAAGGTTGAAGAGAAAGAACAATAGTTTCTGACTTTGACAACAGCTATCAACAATCAAAACAATACTGTAACCCCAGCGCCGACTCCCGTCGCAAGATACGAGCACAAATTTACCAACCGTTGATTGGCTAAAGCATGCCAAAAAAATACATGCCCCTACCACTTTGACTGACACCCAGCTTTACTACTTCCAACCTCAAATTCACGAGTCGCTTGTCCCCAACGACGAGAACTGACTGTGTGTGCGCGTGTTTCTTTCTTGCTGTACTTATTACTGAATTTCCTTCTTGATTTCTGTGTCTCTCTTTATTTCTTTGTTCGTTCGTTCGTCGCTCGTTCGTTTGCTCGTTCTGACTCTTCAAAGCACCACATTGGTGCTACTGGTACCTTAATCGCGAACGGTGCATCCTTTACGCCTCATAAGGATTAGTGCCAAAATGGGAGGATTGCCCAGCTCCACTGGGCAGCTCCCCTCAGCAGCTGATGGGAGTAGAATTGATGCCACTCCCACAGCGAGGGAGGAATCCTCCCACCTCACCGGATGCCCTCCCGGCATCATGGGTGAGGAAGGAAAGTAGCGAAGATCAGCTTGATCAATTCGCTTTCGACTGAGGGGAAGACCCGGTTCTCAGTCGGAAATTGCGGGTCCGGATGAGTAAGTTCATCTTCACATGCGACGGTCCTAACATGACCTGGTGGTCATGCAGTGTTAACACAATTTCCATGAGGATGGCCGCATTGGGCATCCTGCGAGTGGAATCGTTAAGCAGGGAGAAAACGTTTCCCTGGTTATCACTAGCAACCAGAATCCTAGTGTGAGAAGCCGAGCCGGCTGCACAAAGCAGAACAGCCCTCACCAAAAGGAGGAGGCCGAAGAGCTCCAAGGCCGCTATCGCCCGCTGCGGGTCCCCAGTAGTGAAGGCCCACGGCTCGCCCTCCGGTGTGATTCTGTGTTGGAACCACTTCACTCGGGACTTGTCGGGGTTGGGCACGTCCGAGCACCAACCACCAACCCATGCATGGTCCGCCTGTTTGCCAGCTCCCGCATCAGATGCCCCCGTCCATGGAAGTGTGGGAGCAAATGGAGATGCCAGTGGGAACCTCTGGATGAAGAGCTTCCCCAGAAGGATGGCCAGAGCACGAACCAGCTTCGGTGGCCTGCCCGAAGTGGTGCAGGCCTTCTTCCAGCTCCAAAAGGGCTGGAGGAAAGGTTTTGTCAAGAGACAGCAAGGTGACGTCCCGTGGGACGCTATGCACCGAACCCTCAAGCTGTAATACCAACCACGTAGAAAGGTGTATACGGACGATGCCGTTATAGCCGAACCCGTGTAAACGTTGTAAGGGAGAAGGAATGATAGTTACAACAGGAGTCCTGACAAATGCAGCGCAAGCGAAGTGTTTTCGCTCTCAATGCCGATCACGTATGTATGCAGTCACACATCAGATCTTGAACCTCAATTGTGTCTTGAGCCAAATGGCGATCAATGGAACTTGGGAAGCAACACCAACAAGGACCTCAGAACAGCTACCCAATTTCGGCCCCGTACGGGGCCTAGAGGGTTTTAACATCCCCCATTTGGGTCGCATTGTTCATCATGCGGTCCAAACACCACAAAACGTTCCACTGGCCACGGCTTCAACTACGAAATCGTGTCGTGCATTCTTTTACTTGCTATCACTACACCGTTCATTCGTTGTGAAACATGCCGGGTTCGATTGTACGAAAAGTGAAACATTCATCCATTAATCGAAGCGCACTTCCATATGCAGGTGTATACAATACACAATCGTCACGTCATTTGACCGCCAACGAACAATCCAGCTGCCGCATTTGCGCATCGCGCAGCTGTCATCCATAAATGGGTTGGCCACAAAAGTCCATCAGAGGGGCCTGTTCGTGATCGGTCTGCATATTTCCGGCAAAGAAACATCGGTGAGTAATCAATGCAAATCATAGCCATTCCAGATACCATGGACAATGCATAAATAATGAAAAGATATCATCTATAAGGTAATAGTTCCATCCATGAATATCCAGAGCGTCATAGTCATCGGAATATGTAACCATGTACACATCCAGTCATCTTGGACACATGAATATAAATCATGACGTAAAGTCGTTCCACCGAAATAGTGTCGATGTGACGCAAGTAACAGATGGGGACTGACCCACATCGTACCGCAATCAGCATCTTTACGAAGCATACCTGTCCCTAATGGACAGCCTATGGGTACGTCGACGGAACTCCTCGTCCAAGTTCTTCTGGGCTTCTCGTGCCCGGACACACTTCTTGTTGTGGTCCTCTGGTAACCAGTGCCCTTTCCGAAGGCACCAATCCAGCAGGGGTGTGTCGCACTTGTTCGGGTCGATGGCCGAGATGATGGCGCTCACGTTGACCGTGTAACCATTCTTGCCAAGGTTCAGGCCATCCCTCACGAATGATATATACTTACAGTTGAAAGCTAGTGCAAAGCATCTGAAAATAATATCACCCACCGGGCGCACTCAGTCCTTGACCAGGAGCTTCATTTCTTCCTTGGTGACATCGAGGATTCTCGCTGCAATCCACAGCTTGTAGAATGTGTAAAGTCCCTCGCATTTGTACACCATCATACGAATATAATCTTCACGCTCCTCAACCGATCGGAAGGATCTCGTCCGAACATTCTCCGACTGAGAAATTTTCTTCGCTGTTGATGGTAAGAGTATACCTTCCTGATCCTGATCGGTGATGTTGGGGTACCTCTTGAAGTCATTGTGATAAGGACAGCCCGGCCTCCCTTCGAGTCCGGCATTCATCGTTCTCTCCTCACCACCTTCAAACATCCCCCACATCTTGGACAGCTGGAGTGCGATAAATCCTGCCATGCACTGAGCCTCACGCGGCTCGTCAAGGCAGATCGCCATCCGTTGGGAACTTATAATGTCCCGTGACGCCAGATCGGTGTCGCGGTAATGCCAACCGCTGTCTTCCTCCTCTGACGCATAGCCGGATGTATATCCTTGCGTGTCCATGTCGTCATCTTCTCCCGGAACTTCCTCCGCTTCGTCTTCATCCTCCTGTGCTGCCGCATCGTGGTTAGCTTCTTCCTGTGCACGCCCGGCATCTCCAGAGACGTTGGGGTTTTGGTTGTCCTCCTCACACGGAGCATGGATGGTATCCTCCGGGCTTGGAGCATCAAAGTTAGGCTCGCACCCAGGCATGCTACAGCTAAGGTGGGGATCGCGGCCGCACATGACGGATACTGTCCGCACCAGTCCTTCCCATGCCCTATCATTCAGGACATTTACTTGCCACTTGCCCTGACTATGGATCTGTGCGCGAAACCCTCCATCCTGTTGTTTCTCTCGGCTGGTCTGCATGCACGACAATTATGCCAACGGCGGTGCAGATTATCTACCTGTCTTCGCCCTGGCCGCCTCGTTGATCTTGCGATGCTGCTGAGGAAATATCGTCGGGATTCTTGGGATGAGTTGATTGCTTGCGGCAAAACCGTTTCTCCACACAATTTCGGCATATCATTTGATGCCGCCAGGCACCTGCGCTTCCCTCCATTGCTTTTGCCAATCCAAATGGACTTGATTTCATAGAACGGGATCACGTCGAAGACCATAAAAGTCCCATTAGCCGCGACTCCAGCCCCATACCGCGCGAGGGTTGCACTGGGAATATAGATGATCGCAATCGGATCCCCTATCCTCACGTTCCGTAGCGTTGTCTTCGTCGCCACGCTCATCTCATCCCATGGAGCAAACGCCCCGAAGTGCAGTGCTAGCCTGTTGCCGCCATCGATTCCGCCGGGGACTAACCCACAGCGTACGATGCTTGGCAGATTTTCCACATACGTCACATGGAATGCTCCTCCGAGAGAATCACCCATTCTTGCGGAATACCTGTTCGCCAGTGCGGATGAGCTCATGAATCCAAAATCACTATGACCAGTTGTGACTCGAATGCACCAAGGTCTATACCATCCATCGCATCTGTTGAACATCCTGTCGATGTCGTCCCGATCCACGCCAGCTTTGGTCATTTCCTCCCTGGCCGCCCTGGTGTCGTTCGGGTTCATGATGCTCGGAAACCTTGCTGCCAGGACCTGAAATCTCGATTTCTTGTGTCCGGATTCCTGCCACTTGATCACCTCCATGATGCCCATGTATCGTTTCGCTCTCGAGGTGTTATGTGGGAATATGTCGTTGTTTTGGTCGTCAATGACTGCATCAATGTCGACCCAACCACCTTCATCGCACCTGAAAGCACTTCTTCGGCAATTGCCGATTTTGTTTCGAAGGACTCTGCATAGGTCGTGAGATAGCTGGTTTGCTTGGTCCCTTGTAGTAAATACCGAGCGATCATCACCAATCCTGCATAGTGGAGCACCGTCGAAAGGAGCAACGCAGAAGTTGACACTCTTGCCAAGTTGCATCACGTCCACTTGCTCAAGGATTGCACCTTTGGGAAAGTATCTGGGGTCAACGATGGACGCATACGCCCATGGCAAGTGCACATCACTCACATCGCCATACTTCGGGATGTAGCACGGGATGGTGTCACATCCCACCTCGAGCGTTTTCTTGAACGTCCTGCTGTCCCCGCACGGGTTGTAGGTGAGGTCGACGCCACCACATTGTAGCTCTCCTCCCTCAGCCGTGTCAGCCATCTCCACCAAATTAATAGTGTAGCTGTACATCTCAACTGTTTCTTTCCCTGCTTGTCCTCCTTTCTTTCTTTCCTTGGACGTTGATGATGACGGTTCCTCCGTATCCCCCATGTCTTCATCAGATGAAACAGGGTCACTGCTGAGTAGCTCACGGAGCACCTTCATCGCCTTCTCA